GAATGTCATTGAACATCGAGTGTTTATATCATCCGCTGCTAGTATCTTCCATTAAATTGAAGTAGAACAAATGAAGAATCTGCTTTACTGTACTACATTTGCCTTCAAAAATTTTGCTGCACCTATTTTTCCAAAGTAACCAAAATACATTCCAAAAGATTTTGATCCATAGCCATCTTCTAAAGGATGTTCTCCCCTCATGATTCCTTGTGCCTTAATTTGGAAACTCTAATCACTAAGCAACATAACTTTTCAATACCAAAAGTAATAGAGTATGATCAACATTTCTTATGGCTCTTATCACTTTAAAGGAAGTCAAAGATGACTCTCTTGGCATGGATGGACTTAATGCTCATTTTTTTCCAAAAAAATTTGGAATATCATAGATGAGGACATCTTTTATATGGTCTCTATCTTCTAAGAATTTAAGCACCTTCTAAAATCTCTAAACAAAATTATCATCACCTTATTCCAAAAGAAGAAATGTTGAACCAAGTGTTTTGATGATTACTAAACCAAAGAGAAGGGGTTTATTACTTGTGCAGATCGATGTTATAACTTTAAAGTGACAAAATCACAAAGAATATGAAGAATAAGAGAAGACTTGGATTTTAATAGGTTTATTTATCTTAATCTTCTCTTAGATTCAATGTGAAAAATATTTGAGAGCTAAATTACACTTTGAATGGTAAGATTGCATCATGATAGAATATATCTTAGGCTCATAAGTCCTTGTACATTATTTTCAAACACTTAGAATGCATTTGTGCTTCATACTTTGATTTGAGCTTGTGTTAGTATGAGCACACACTTAAATCAACCATCCTTTTTGTGTCATAGGACTTAGTTGATTCAATTCAAGCTTGAGTTAAAAGTGATAAATGCTTGAATTAGTGTCCAAAAGCATTGTTGGCCAATTCATGCTTGTCCTAGTTTGGACATATGCTTGAATAAGCCTAATGCTTTAAGTTGTGCTTCTGTGATCTAATTCATCCTTAAGTTCATTATCATATATGCTTGAATTAGTGCCAGTATGTTAGCTTCAAGTATTCCAAAGTCTAATCCATGTGTGTCACCTAGGTAATTCATGCTTGAATAAGTTCCAATATTTATAGACTTTCAAAGCTAACTTAGAAAGCCTTGAACCTGAACAAGCCAATTCAAGCTTGTTTTGGTAGTAACTGGTGTGTTTTACCTTACAATATCTACTTATCCCATACACACTTGAATTAGTCTGTATCCACACATGTTTGGGCTTACAATAGATGGAAGGAGCTTTTGACTTGTAATACAAGCCTGAACCATATAGCCTTTATTGTTGGATTTGTCAAGATTAAACCAAGTTGTTTGGGCCTTAGCAACTTAGGTGTGCACCCTTACTAATCCTTGCGTGAATCAATGTCTTATTAGTACATTAAGTGAGTGGGTATATTTCATTACTTCCTCTCAAAAAATATGGCTTTTTTTTTTTTTTTTACTTTCTTTCACTTCAAACCATGTCTAATGGCTATATTTCATTACCTGAGGGTTCCTAACTGTCTTAACCACCTCATACTATATATAGGACCTTATTTAAGTGAGTGGGTAACTCATTCATTGAGCATTAAGTGATTTGCATTGAATTCTTACCAACTTTCATATGTTTTTATGAAAAAACTCTCAAACAATTTATAAGCTTTTATTATATTTATATTCACTCTTTTAGGAAATCCTAATTCTGAAAAGCTTTTTATTGCTTATTTGAAATCTCAAGAAGACATTTTTCTAAGTGGTTTACTATATTTACAAGTTTTGTAAGTTGTTTTTACTGAAATCAAGACTAGTATAGTCTTGTGTACTCATTGAGGCGTGAGTACCCAATTAAGCTTGTGTTTCAAATAAAAAATTCAAGTGTGATCTTAAGGACTTGAATGAGCCAAATGGTTGAGCTGAGCAAGGATGAATTTATTGTGTCAAGCTTTCTTCTTAACCTCATCATCTTTTCAAAAAACTTCTGCATTAAACTTTTCTGTGTTCTTCATTTTTGGGATGGGAAAAGATTTTGTGAAAAATTTAATAATATTCAATTCACCCACCTTCTTTGTTGCCTATCTTGTTCAACATTTGGTATCAGAACTAGATCTCGTAATTAAGACTTAACAGTCTAAGAGGATCCTATAAATAGTTTTGGTAATAGCCTTCTACCCAAATGTGCTGAAATTATGAGGCCCCTAGAATTCAATGATAAAAACTACACATTCTGAAAAAGCAAAATGAGAATTTTTTTTTTTTAGGCATTCGATTGGGATTTATGAGACATTGTAAAGCGAGCTCCCTACATACCATCAAAAGAGAAAGACGGCATTTAGGTTAGGAAAAGCATAAGTGAGTTTACTGAGAAAGAGATCACTACTTAATCAACATTTTATTTTCAAATCTTTTTACTATGTTTTCAAATAAATGTAAAAAAAATTGTCTCTTGAAATTTGAAAATATTTTTCTTTATGCGTATGAGCTTTCTTACTTTTAAAACCTTTCAAAAGATATTTATTTACTTTCCCACAAAAAAATATTAATGGAAAGTACTATTAAAAGGAAGTAATTAAGTAGTTTGATTTGAAGCACGTACATGAATTTGCAAAAATATACACACAGAGAGATGTACCAATGTGTAAATTTTTCGTCCATTCTAGTATGTAAATCATAATCCAAAAATATTTCTTGTTCAATTCAAAGAAAACCTTTTATTTGCAAATAAATTTCTAAATGTATAATAAATTATTTCAGTTTTTACTTTTTATTCAATTTAAACAGTCAAATAAACTCCCGTCGACACCTCATTTTCAAAGGAGAATTGACGTTAGTAGATAATTAATAAACTTAAAATGCATGTGAAAATGTATACTCTTAAAATGTAGCATTTTAAGCATTTTTAGTGATAGAAGTTACTGGATATTTCTCTTGTGGAAGCTTTTTCAACTATTATAGAACTTCAGACTAACAGTTATTTTCATTATGATTTTACTTGAGGGGAAGTTAATTAAGTTTTATGAACAGTCCCCCACAAAAAAAATCCCACACTAACGGCTCCACCGTCACTGTTGGATTCGTCATTATCATCGCCTTCCCTGTGCATAGATCAAACGCCTCGCAACTTTTCAATCTCACATCGGCAGCATGGAACCTGCACAACAGACATATTTCTAATTCGGAGGTCGATCATGCTGCTCATCTCTGTACCTAGCTCCATGCATTCGAAGGAAGAAGAAATGGTTTGCCTTCTATTTGTAGCTTCATCATCTTCCGCAACAATGTCAATCTTTCATCAAAGCTTGTTCCTGGGCAAGCTTATGTATGTGTACTGGTGGATTCAGCATTCTGATTTGGGTTTTGCCATAGCTTAATTTATTTCTAGTTGTTAACCGATGCTGTTGTTCATCTTCTTCTCGAGCTTTAGAAGGAGCGCCTCTTGCTTGGATGCCTCGTGAGCATGCCACTAAGCAGAAATTTAATCAAGCAAAAAAAAAAAAAAAAATTGTGGTGGATACCACGTGACTTGCCACATAAGCATTATTTGTTCAAATAAAAATCAAATATCTAAATTTGTTAAAATTGACTGACATTGCTCTGTACTGAAAAGCATTAAAAGAACACCGCACTTTTGACTTCAAGATGCCAACTTGTACCTCACTGCACGATTTCATTACATATTTGCACTTTAATCCTATTTTGTTTGTTCAAATTTGTGTTTCAAATTTGTTTTAATTTGAAAATTTTCACCCAAAACATTTTTTATCTTTTATTTGTTTTTTGGTAATAAGAACATAGATTTTATTTTGGAAGAATCTCATTTAAGACCCCCCAAAGCACAAAGCCGAATACAATTGCAAACCCTTTATAGGCCCAAGGGCCTTAGGTGAAAATATGTTTTAACAAAATAAGATACATTTGTCCTCTCTTTTTTATGAATACACAACATAATATTTATAAATTATAAACACAATGCTATATAATGTACAATTGGTCTAATGGAAATGATTTAATTTGAAATATACAAGTTGTGCAAGATGAAAGAACAATAAATATCCATGAATGCACAACACAACATTCATAAAATCTCAACACAATATTCCATAATATATAATTGGTCTAGTAGAAATGATTTAACTTAAAATATATAAGTTGTGCAGGATAAATATACAACATAATATTCATGAATGCATAACACAATATCTACAAATTCTCAATACAATATTTTGTAATTGACAACAAATGTCCAAGAGCAAATACGTCCTATTCTTGTAAAAACATATTTCGAACTACAGAGTTTTCAAATTGTATTAATCCTAAATGCAAAAATTTTGTCCTACAAGGCCCGTAAGTGAAATTCTCCTTTTTATTTTATCACACATCTAAGTTACAAACATAATTGGATTGAAAACCTATTTGGAAACTACTCCAACTCATGTCTTTTCTTTCCACTATCCAAGTCAGTTTGAAAACCCCTTCACTCCATTAGTTTTAAATCGAAGTGTGTTAACAGACTGTAAACAAAATAAAACAAACCCAGACAAACTTGAACACATTTATTTTCTCATTTAAACATTGGGTCAAATAAAATTTCAACCTTTACTGCCAACATTTTTCATTGTAAGTTTTTATTTTAGATCATTTTCCCCCAACACATTTACACGGCACAACTTTTATTTTAGTTTTACACTCTTTTTGAGAATTGATAGATAAAATCACACTATTCTTAAAAATGTCATCATCTTCTTGCAACACACTTTATAATATTTTTGCACCTTAACCCTTATACAACACAACATCAGATTACGACTTAGTTCATATTTTATATTTATAACCAAATACCTCCATTTTGATTAGTTAAAAAGTATATATTTTAGTCATTGGAAAGAGTGTAGTGAAGCGATTTTAAAATTATTCTAAAATGTATCACACACACAAAAGGTTTTTTGAGCGGTTTGCACAAACATAATAAAATATGTAACTTGATAAAATTCAAGAAAAATCTACATAATTTGATTAATAAATAAGTTATTTGAACATTTCAATCCAAAGTCACGCTTCAGACAGAGTGAGGAAACAATTCCAAAAACGAATGAATCAAGCATAGAAGTAAACATGGGGGAAAATGCTTTAAAACTGTTACAAAAATAAAATCCATAAAACACAGCCATGATTGAATTTCATAGACGGCAACAAATATTTTTCTTTAAAATATATATATATAACCACTTGGGAGACTCAAGTCTGCTACCTCTTAAAGAGACCCGATTGTTGCAGTGTTCTGCAATACTCCAATATTATCGGAGAGTTCCTTACTTGCTCCCATACCTTGGCAGAATTCTTCAACCATTCACGTTCAGACACAGGCCTCATCGAAGATGGAGACTTCATGGATAAAATCTGAAAAGGTTTAAACACAAGACTACAATATTGTTATCCAAAGTTTATCCAACACCGAGTGAGTTTCATGGATCTATAAACAATAACAACATTGTTTAGAGAGAAATATTTGTTCCTTTGATCAACCGCACACCACCTTATTGCAACAAGGTGGTGGATGATGCGGGGACATAGGTTTATTTTGATGCCTTTGTACTAATTTTTGATAATTATAAATATAGGGTAAAAAAGTAAGTGACAACTTGAGAACCTAAACTCAGTTTTTTACAATATTTTTCTTTAACTTTTAAAAATGATACAATCAAACCCCTATCATTAATATGAGTTAACTTTAATTATTAGGTAACTAGACAATGACATCAAAAATTACAAAAAAAGACCAATAAAATTTTCTTAATTCTTTGGGTCATTGTCTGTCATTTTTTGTCCATTTTAATAATTTTGAGGTCCTTTTCTATCATGATCAACCAACGGTTAATGTTAAGTTTTGTTATCAATAGAAGTTAGATTACACAATTTTCAAAAGTTGAAAGGGAATATTATTAAAATGAGTTTAGCTCCCAAATACTCTTAGATCTATAGTTTATAGGCTAATTTTCCAATTTAATCCATTAATATATGACTCCATGTTTTATTCCAAAAAACAAATAATAACGACAAATTGGGGAAGTATAAAACTTGATAAAAAAGAATGTCCATATTGAGAGAGACCTGATCTCTTAGTTTCCATAGTGCAGAGATGAAACTCTCGTGTTGAGCTCTAGTATTTTCATCCCTTCTCTTCAATGGTATCATATGCAAATGTATATTTGGCATGTTAGAATCCAATTGGTTATTATGAACGACGGCAGGGTCTCTCTCAGGAGGCACGGTTCTGTGATTCTTCACAAATGAACATGTATCAAAATACTTCAAGAGTGCCTTCTTCAATAGCACAAAATTTTGAGGAGTTGCGTCCTGGTCCTGCACCCTAGAGAAGTCAAAAGGAAACACGTTAATTCTTCCCAACCAAAGTTGAACAATCAGATACACATCGCAAAATAATAATAGCAACCAGGAAACCCCGCCAAACAAGTAGTAACAGAGGCAACATTAACAAGGAATGAAATCAACCAGTAACTTAAATCAACATCAACAAATTGCTCAATGAAATACAAATGAACTGAAACAAAATGGAGTCCAACAATAACCATGCAGCCACATGGCATTATTACGCTTAATCAACACCAAACAAACCATGTTGCAGTTATAAATAACCATATTCTCTAACAGGGTTTCAACTGCAGAATCTTGATGACAAAAGGGTTGGTGAAGATATGGAACATAAATTCTGAGGCTTCTGCCATTGGAAAGGGCTAGAATATCATAAAGGAGATTTGGAAGGGAGGAAAGAGCATAATTCCAAAGGGAAGAATGTCACATAATCTAGTTCTCACCTATGTTTCTGTCTGTTGGCCATAGAAATCTGTATTACATCATTTGGCATCTGAATCAGCAACTTCTAAGAATAGATAAATATGCATAAATTTGGAAAAGTTGAAGAAATTAGGAAAACTAGAGTTGAACACATTATGGCATAAGTACGTGCTGACAATCAAGAAATTCTCATCCAACTTGTACGAACATGATAAATGATTAATGAGGTAGCCACCAGTCTAATAGGAACCACCAATGTCCATTTCTAGTTTACATTAGGAAAATATGTGGCAGTCCCACTTCTGATGAAGATTCAGTTTAGGATTACATGATTTTAATATTTGTGTTTTATGTTTAGGACTCTTTTTAAGTGGCTCGTGTTAGTTACCTTGTACTATTATTAGTTTCATGTATTTAGGACATAGTAAATATCAAACTGTAAATATCCTATTACATAATTTGTCAAGGGCATGAATGAAGTTATTCAGTGATTTTTGGAGATTCTCCTACTTCTAAGAATTCTGATTCTAGAATTTTTCCTCCTCCTCTTCCTCATTCATTTCCTCTTTTCTTTCTCTACTGTTCAATATTTTCCTATCAAGTTTCTACCAATTTGGTATTAGAGCCATTCCATCTCAGCCTGCTGGGATAACATGGTTACCACACGCAATTCACCTTACAATAATGAAACCATCCTTCCTAAGCCCAACTCAGAATCACTCTGCAATTCCCCTACTCCTTATGAGTCTGTCAATCCTTTTTCTACTAATCATCTTGACCAAGAATTATCTGCAATCATGTCCAAATTAAACAACCTGGATGTTGAAGTGTCTGAACTAAAGCATTCAAAATCACACACAAAGGCAATGGGAGGTAGTAGCAATACTAACAAACAAATTCATGAAGACAATGAAGATGAAGATCAGGAAAACCCAGAGAGGAGTAAATTTCCAAGTAAGCGTCCCCATTCTAAAGTTGAATCTCCTAAGTTTGAAGGTGAGGATCGACATGGCTAGATCATGAAGGCAGAAAAGATTTTTGCTACTATCATAAAAGTTGATGTTGCAGCAATGAGTTTGGTAGTTGAGCATTAGATGTCTTCACACATGGTTACTTCAAGAAGAACTCTAAGACATTGGGATGAATTAATTCAAGTTTTTCAAGAACACTTTAGCCAAGCAGAATTTCAAAGTCCTGATGTTTACTTATGTAGTATTAAACAAACTGGTACTGTACAAGAATACCACCAAGAATTTACTAAGCGATCGGCCAGGGTCCATAGATTGCCCAAACATTGCCTACTGGGAGTTTTCATTAATGGGTTATAAGAAGAGTTGCAGGTTGATGTTAAAATTCACAGGTCATGTCCGTTTACAAGGCTAACAGTCTCGCTTTAGAATTAGAAGCAAACCAAACTCTAGGTTTTAAGGGACACGTGCAGGAGAAGACAGTTATACAATGAGAGATAGTAAAACTAATTTACAGAAGCAAATACCCTTATCAGTTACTGGAACTTCCAATAACTCCCAGAGACAATTACCTACGTCAGTTACTGGTTCCTCAGCAGTTACCACTTCCCCATTAATTCCAGAAACTGACAGGCAGTTAACAAGAGACAAGGAATTTTGATTTGATCGTGGCGTAAAATTTATGCCTGGACGTAAACGAAAAGTTCCTACCCTTAAACTGATGGAACTCACCGATGATAAAGAAATTCCTATGCCCACTTTCACCGACATGGAAGATGCTCCAGAGTCTAAAATAGCAGATTTTCTCTCATGCCATCTTCTACGGCAATTATGAAACTGCAGGGAACTATGAAATCAAAATCTATCCTCATTTTGATTGATAGTGGATCTACACAACTTTATTTCAGAAAAATTAGTGGCAGAATTACAACTTTCAGTTCAAGAAAGTCCTCCTTTTTGGGTGCTAAATTGGAAAGAGCTTCGAGTACAGAGCTTGATTATTAGAGATGATTTCTACCCTTTCCCTATTGGTGGTGCAGAATTGGTCAAGGGGATCAAGTAGTTGGCATCTTTAAACACTGTTCAGGCTAATTGGCAAAAGATGTTTATGATATTTTGGGTAAATGGAAAGCACTATAAGTTGCAACGAATCCCTCCTAAATCAGCAACCATCACTTCACTGCAGAGTTTTTCAGTTGAATACGCAATTTCTTGGCGAGAACATTATTTAAAGGATTTACTCAGTACATTTGCAGCTGTTTTTACACAACCAGCCCACTTACCACCCATATGTGATCATTGCCATGCCATTCCTTTATTCCTAGGAGCAGTCCCTCCAAATATTAGACCCTACAGCCAGCCTCACAGTCAAAAGGATGAGATTGAGACATGTTGAGGAATTGTTGTCAAAAGGGTTTTTCCACCCTAGTGTAAGCCCTTTTGTTAGTCCAGTACTTTTGGTGGAGAAGAAGGACAAATCTTGGCTTCTTTTCATTGACTACGGGGAACTCAAATGTATTACTATTCTAGATAAGTACCCTAACCCTTGCATTGATGAACTCAAAGATTAACTACATGAAGCCTCTTTTTTTTTTTCCCCAAAAATTTACTTGCATTCTGGTTACCACCAGATTCGTATTCTCCTAGAAGATATATACAAAACTTCCTTTAGTACCCATTTTGGCCATTATGAGTTTATTGTCATGCCTTTCGGTCATCAAATGCACCTTCTACCTTCCAAGATGCAGTGAATGACATGTTACGTCCTTTTCTCAGAAAATTTATTCTAGTCTTCTTCGATGACATGTTAGTTTATGTCTGTAACTTTCAGGAGCATATGGCCCATTTGTGTATTGTCATACAAACCTTGCAACACCATGAATTTTTTGCTAATCCAAAAAAGTTTTTGCTTTGATCAAACAGAAATATCCTATTTGAGGCACGTGATTAGAAATGGAGTCATTTCAGTGGATGCGGAGAAAATTACAATAGTGAAGGAATGGCCTATTCCACAAAATGTGAATGAACACCGTGGTTTTTGGGGCCTTACTGGATATTATCAACCCTTTGTTCATCATTATGGCCAAGTGGCTAAACCCCTGACAGACCTTACAAAGAGGGACTCTTTCCATTGGGATGCTGGTGCCATCATTGCCTACAACAACCTCAAGCAAGCTCTTACTACTGCTCTGGTTTTGAGACTTCCAGACTTTACTAAGCCATTTATTGTTGAATGTGATGCTTTATCAACAAGAATAGGGGCTGTTTTGCAAAAAGGGCATCCTATTGCCTACTTTAGCAAAGGATTGTCGTTCTCCAATAGATACAAGTCTTTTTATGATAGAGACTTGCTTGCTTTGGTGTCCACTTTGTAGAAATGATACCACTATCTGTTGGGAAGGAAGTTTGAAGTGCATACTAACCAACACAGTCTCTACTACTTGCTGGAACAAAGGGTTACAACTCCAGAATAGAAGAGGTTGTTGGTGAAATTACTTGCATTTGAATTTGCCATTGTATTCAAGACTGGCATATCTAATCAAGGGCTGATGCTTTATCACGATGATCTCATTCTACTGAATTTTTTTCTCTGGCCTCACATTTTGATGATCTTTGCTCCACACTACAGCAAGATGCCTGCACTGCAGCAATTACCTCTTGACTCCAACCAGATCCCACCTCAGTGCTGCATTTTGTCTTGTCTTCTGGCAAACTATTACAAGGACCAACTGGTTATACCAGTACCCACTGATCTGAGTACCAGATTCATTGTTGAAGCACATACTTCACTTATGGGTGGTCATTGGGGTCATCTTAAAACCCTCAAATGCCTGCAACAGCATTTTTACTGGAGAAACATGAAGAATGAGGTGAAAACATTTGTCCAAAATTGCAACAGTTGTCAACAGAAAAAATATCAACCTCATCCTCTTGCTGGACTTTTGCAACCTTTGAGTGTTCCAGAAAACATTTGGGAAGAGATTTCTATGGATTTCATTACAGGGTTGCGTAAATCTAATGGGATGGATACACTCCTTGTGGTGGTTGACTGTTTCAGCAAATACAGCCACTTCCTTGCCCTCCATATAGACACCTATCAACGGTAAAACAGTGGCTGCTATCTTTTGCAAAGACGTGGTACAACTTTATGGCATCCCTAAATCAGTCATTTCTGATTATGACCTCATCTTAAGTGTTTTTTGGCAAGAGCTCTTCCGTCTCAGTGGCACTCAATTGAGGATGAGTACTGCATATCATCCTCAAACTTACGGGTAAACAAAAGTTGTCAACCATTGTCTAGGGACCTACATGAGATGCTTTTCACAAGAACATCCTAAAGCATGAAGCCAAATTTTACACGGGGCAAAACCCTCTTTTGGATCAACTCCTTTCAAGATTGTTTGTGGAAGAGAACCACCTATTTTACTTCCACATACAAAAGGTGATACAATCAATATTATTAGCAAGTATGCACCTCAGGTAGGAGTAAAAGCCCATCTTAAGGAATTGTTTTGGTAAGAATTGAATGGGTTGTGATGGAGCCCTCTACTCTAAAAGCATGTTCTCTATTTGTTCTCTATTTCAATACACACATTCCTTTTGTCTAAAAGCCTTGTACACTTCTCTAATGTTCTCTGCATCCCTTCCATTCTTTCCACCATATTCTTCATTAGTTCTGGCATCTTCGCTACTATTGTTACAAGTCTGCTAGCAGGTTTGCCATATTTTTCGCCTCTCGAATTGACCTTCATTGATACCAAATGATAGAGCCCTCTACTCTAGTAAGTTTAAAACAAGCAAAAAACAGAAAATAAACTACAAATGGGACTGAATTACTATTGCTGAATAGCCAAGTCAGATTACAAGCAAAATAAGGAGTCGGGTGGGTGGGTAGGTGCGTGCGTGCGTGCGTGCGTGTGCGTGTGGTGTGGGTGGGTGTGTGTGCGCGCGCGCGCGCAAGAGAGCAGACAATAGAGTAAAGACTAATGAAGTCTCGTTTTACTAATAAATCTGTACAATAACTACCCAATATTCCCATAGAAAGTCAAACATAAAAAGGATGATTTTAGAGCCATACATTTGTGCAATAATGTTGAAAATCAGAAGTATCGCATGGTTAAGAAAAAAAACAAAGAAAATAATGAGTGAAGCACATTCTAAAGCATTTGAAGAATTTTACAATGTTCTAGGGACAAAGGGTTGAGAACAAAAAATTTATAAGACTACAAAGATTTGGATAAAGTAGGATGAAAGAAAATCAAAACATTTGGAGCTAGTAAGTTGCATAAAGTAGGATGAAGAAGGAAAAGTTTTGGTTAGAGATGGTGATATTAAAGAACAAAGGGAGGCCTACTTTTTCAAGTTCTTCAATCATAGAGAGAGCTTGTATAGTGACTTGAGGGATTTACTAACCCAAGAAGGAGAACAAAATTTGACGTTTTATCGAAGGATTAGTGATACCAAAGTTAAGGAAGCTCTTAACAAAATGGAAAACTGTATAGCCATTAGACCTAACAATATCCATATTGAAGTGTTGAAATGTTTAGGTGAAACGGGGATGCTATGGCTAACTAAGAACTACAAGTTGGTGTGGAATTGCCTATTAAGTTATCTAAGTTTTATTCTGATAGCAAGGCAACCATAGGCATATCTCATAATCTCGTCCAGCATGATAGAACAAAACAAGTTGAAGTGGATAGACATTTCATCAAGGAACAGATTGAAAGCAAAAGTAGTGTGCCTAATATTTGTTCTATTAGAGAAGCAAGTTGCTGTTGTCTTAACCAACAGACTTAGAAGAGAGAACTTCAATGAATGCATAAGCAAGTTGGACATGATTAATATGTATGATCCAACTTCAAGGGTTGTGTGGGAATATTTTATTTTTTATTGTTCTAATTATATTCTGATTGTATAGCTTTTATGAGTATTTACTAATCTTGGTGTATATATTTGGATGAAAATCACTATTCAGGAGAATGAGAAATACAATTTTTCAAAATCTTCAACAGGAAATATTCCACAGATCAACAACTTCAGAAACCAATAGTAATTAAGAGGCCATTGGTTTAATTATCAATGTCAGAGATTGGGTAGAGATGGATCCCCCTATTGAAATTTCAAGACAAGCATTGTTTAGGCCAGCAAAACAGCAATATATCCTAAGTGTTATAATGTTATAATGTTAATGCTAGATTAATGCTAGGTCGTTGCCCGTAAGTAACGCGCTGCATGGCTCGAGTACAGTGATAAGTGAGTTAGAACCGCTGCATCGGCGCCCGGATGTAGTGTTAAATGAGCAAGGGCTACCGCGTCATTCTGGACGCACGCGGCTAAAGAAGTTAGTCCATAAGAGCAAAATTAGATTTGGTACTTGGAATGTTGGGACATTAAATTGTAAATCTGTAGAGGTTGTAGGGGTTATGATTCAAAGGAAAATCAATATCCTTTGCTTGCAAGAAACAAAATGGCGTGGAGAAGAAGCTAAGGATATTCAAGGTTTCAAACTTCGGTATACAGAAAAGTAAGTGCACGCAATGGAGTAGGCATCATTATAGATAAGGAGTGGAAGAAGAACGTTGTAGAAGTTAGCAGAATTGGAGACAGAATTATTTCTTTAAAAATGATAATTGGACGTGAGACTGTTAATATTGTTAGCGCTTATGCGCCGCAAGTTGGGACAGAAGCCAGTCTTAAGGAATTATTTTGGGAGGATCTGGAGGGGTTGATTCGACACATACCACAGAGTGAAAAGATTTTTATTGGAGGAGACTTTAATGGGCATGTCGGGAGGGAAGCTGGTCAGTATGCGAGGGTGCATGGTGGTTTTGGTTTTGGAGAGCTAAACAATGAAGGCAAACTCTTCTTGATTTCTCATTGGCGTATGATTTTAAGATTGCCAACACTTGTTTCAAGAAGAGAGATGAGCATCTCATCACCTACAAAAGTGGAGCCTCAAGGTCGCAGATTGATTTTCTTTTGGTTAGGAACACAGATAGAAAACTATGTAAAAATTGTAAGGTGATCCCTAGAGATGCTGTAACGACACAACATAGGGTCCTAGTCCTTGATGTGTGTATTATGAGTAAAATCCAAAAACGTCGACAAGTAGTAACACCAAGGATTAGGTGGTGGCAATTAAAAGGTGAGAAGCAAGATATTTTCAAGCGAAATCTTTTGGATAAAGGAATTTGGGATTCTCAGGGAAGTGCTAACATCATATGGGAGGATATGGCTAAAAAGATACGGGAGGTTGCAAAAGTAGTTTTGGGAGAATCGAAAGGTTCTGGTCCGAGAAATAAGGAGTCTTGGTGGTGGAATAATAGTGTACAGGACAAAATCAAGTATAAGAAGAACTGTTTTAAAGCCATACATTTGTGTAACAATGAGGAAAATTGGGAGAGGTACCGTATGGCTAAGAAGGAAACTAAGAGAGCTGTGGGTGAAGCTCGTTCTAAAGCTTTTGAAGAATTTTATAAGAACCTTGAGACGAAGGAAGGAGAGCAAAATATTTATAAGATTGCCAAGAGTAGGGAAAGAAAATCAAGAGATCTAGAACAGGTAAGGTGTATTAAGGATGAAGAGGGAAGAATTTTAGTTACAGATGATGAAATTAAAAATAGATGGGAGACTTATTTTTCTAAACTTTTCAATGATGGAGAGATTCATCTAGTAACTTGGAGGATTTAGTAACTGGTGAAGGAGAACAAAATTTATCATTCTATCGAAAAATACGTGATAAGGAGGTAAAAGAAGCTCTTAAGAAAATGGCAAATGGTAGAACTAACGGACCTGATTGTATATCTATCGAAGCGTGGAAATGTTTAGGTGAAGAAGGGGTGAGATGGTTAACTAAGTTATTTAATGTGATTTTACGGTCCAAGAAAATGCCTGATGAGTGGAGGAGAAGTACATTAATTCCTATTTATAAAAATAAAGGAGATATTCAGAATTGTACTAACTATAGAGGGATTAAACTCATGAGCCACACAATGAAATTGTGGGAGAAAGTAATTGAGCACAGGTTGAGATTGGAGACAAGTATTTCTGAGAATCAATTTGGTTTTATGCCAGGTAGATCAACTACAGAGGCGATTTATCTACTAAGGGGATTAATGGAAAAGTATCGTTGTAAAGATAAAGATCTACACATGGTTTTTATTGATTTGGAAAAAGCTTATGACCGTATACCAAGAGAAGTGCTTTGGAAAGCGTTGGAAAAAAAGGGAGTACGGATTGCTTATATTAAAGCCATACAAGATATGTATGAGGGGGTAAAAACTAGTATAAGAACGCCTAGTGGTCAAACAAAGGATTTTCCTATAAAGATTGGACTACATCAGGGATCATCTCTGAGTCCTTATTTGTTCAACTTGATTTTAAATGTTTTGACGGAACATATTCAAGAGGAAATCCCGAAATGTATGCTCTTCGCGGATGATATAGTTCTTATAACAGAGACAAGAGAAGAGGTTAATTGCAAACTTGAGTTATGGAGGAAGACATTGGAGTCGAAAGGTTTCCGTCTGAGTAGAAGTAAGACGGAATATTTATATTGTAAATTTGATAAAGGACTATTCGAAAATAATTTGGAAGTGAAATTGGGAGATCAAATTATACCTCAAGTGGAAAAGTTTAGATATTTGGGAGCCATTATTCAAAATGATGGCAAAATCAGTGGAGATATTTCACATAGAATTCAAGCTGGGTGGTTTAATTGGAGAAAAGCTAAAGGAGTTATTTGTGACCGTAAGGTGCCTAATAAACTTAAAGGAAAGTTTTATCGTACTGCTATCAGACCGGCAATGTTATATAGTAGTGAATGCTGAGCTCTAACGGGACAGCAACAGCATAAAGTTGGAGTAGCAGAGATGAGAATGTTACGATGGATGTGCGGACATACACGTAAATAAAATTCGAAATGAGCACATACGTGAAAAAGTGAGGGTGGCACCTATTGAAAAAAAATGGTAGAAAATCGGTTGAGATGGTTTGGGCATGTACAAAGAAGACCAAGGGAGGCACCAGTGAGAAGAGTGGAACATATAACTTTGAGTCCGATTAAGAGAGGTAGAGGAAGGCCTAAGAGAACACTCTTGGAAGTTGTTGAACGTGATCTCTTAATTAATAATATTTCTAAAAGCTTAATAAATGATAGAGCACAATGGCGTCTTGCAATCCATGTAGCCGACCCCACCTAGTGGGATAAAGGCTTGTTGTTGTTGTTGTTGTTGTTGTTGTTATAATGTTAACATTTGATTGCTGTTACAACAATTATTAGAAACTTATGTTCATTCTTGCTCTTACAAATGCTGAACACGTCTTACTTGGTGTGCACAAAAATAGGAGTAGCCATGTACTCTTCACTTTCTGCGACTTTGTTATCTTTTCCAAGCCCCGAACTTGAGCTCTGGGATACAAATGAAGTGAGGGAGAAAGGGTTTGATATGCCATGCTTCAACAAGTCAACCTGTATGATAATAAGTACAACATGATCCTCCTTGAAAAAACATCAATGCCCTTAATAGAATAAAAGAATTAGTCATAATAAATTCATAAAGGAGGCTTAGAAACAGCTTCTGTGCTAATTTGTAGACAATAAGATGGATAAAAGTGGTTATAATATATTTCCCTATTCTAGAATCAACAATAGACTTGTTCATCTAAATGGATATCTATATTTTGCAAAGCTTCAAAGCAAATAGACATTAATCAAATGCTATATTCATCTTAAGGCCCATTTGGATTTCAGTTTGCATACAGCAAAAGTACATTTGAAGAATCAAACTATTTGTAGGATTTGGGAAAACCACATCCCAAATGTGGTTTGAATATACTTTTGAGCATTACCCAAACAAGCACTTATTTTATTAACAAATGGAGAAAGCACATTCCTTTTTAAGAAGAAAAAAAGAAAAAAGAAAGAAAAGAAAGAAAGGATTGTAGCTTCAACGTACTAGTTATTTAACTTCTCCAAATGATACCCAGAAGAACAGCAGCACCTGCTGCTATTGTTACATAAGGTCAGCTACATGAGGTCAACTAATCATTGATTTAACTTCTCCAAATGCTATTGTTAAAACAACAACAAGAAGCCTTTATCCCACTAGGTGGGGTCGGCTACATGGATTGCAAGACGCCATTGTGCTCTATCAATTATTAAGCTTTTAGAAATATTATTAATTAAGAGATCACGTTCAACAACTTCCAAGAGTGTTCTCTTAGGCCTTCCTCTACCTCTCTTAATCGGACTCAAAGTTATATGTTCCACTCTTCTCACTGGTGCCTCCCTTGGTCTTCTTTGTACATGCCCAAACCATCTCAACCGATTTTCTACCATTTTTTCCTCAATAGGTGCCACCCTCACTTTTGACGTATGTGCTCATTTCGAATTTTATCTTTACATGTATGTCCGCACATCCATCGTAACATTCTCATCTCTGCTACTCCAACTTTATGCTCTTGCTGTCCCGTTAGAGCCCAGCATTCACTACTATATAACATTGCCGGTCTGATAGCAGTACGATAAAACTTTCCTTTAAGTTTATTAGGCACCTTACGGTCACAAATAACTCCTTTAGCTTTTCTCCAATTAAACCACCCAGCTTGAATTCTATGTGAAATATCTCCACTGATTTCGCCATCATTTTGAATAATGGCTCCCAAATATCTAAACTTTTCCACTTGAGGTACAATTTGATCTCCCAATTTCACTTCCAAATTATTTTCGAATAGTCCTTTACCAAATTTACAATATAAATATTCCGTCTTACTTCTACTCAGACGAAAACCTTTCGACTTCAATGTCCTCCTCCATAACTCAAGTTTGCAATTAACCTCTTCTCTTGTCTTTGCTATAAGAACTATATCATCCGCGAAGAGCATACATTTCGAGATTTCCTCTTGAATATGTTCCGTCAAAACATTTAAAATCAAGTTGAACAAATAAGGACTCAGAGATGATCCCTGATGTAGTCCAATCTTTATAGGAAAATCCTTTGTTTGACCACTAGGCGTTCTTATACTAGTTTTTACCCCCTCATACATATCTTGTATGGCTTTAATATAAGCAATCCGTACTCCCTTTTTTCCAACGCTTTCCAAAGCACTTCTCTTGGTATACGGTCATAAGCTTTTTCCAAATCAATAAAAACCATGTGTAGATCTTTATCTTTACAACGATACTTTTCCATTAATCCCCTTAGTAGATAAATTGCCTCTGTAGTTGATCTACCTGGCATAAAACCAAATTGATTCTCAGAAATACTTGTCTCCAATCTCAACCTGTGCTCAATTACTTTCTCCCACAATTTCATTGTGTGGCTCATGAGTTTAATCCCTCTATAGTTAGTACAATTCTGAATATCTCCTCTATTTTTATAAATAGGAATTAATGTACTTCTCCTCCACTCATCAGGCATTTTCTTGGACCGTAAAATCACATTAAATAACTTAGTTAACCATCTCACCCCTTCTTCACCTAAACATTTCCACGCTTCGATAGATATACAATCAGGTCCGTTAGCTCTACCATTTGCCATTTTCTTAAGAGCTTCCTTTACCTCCTTATCACGTATTTTTCGATAGAATGACAAATTTCGTTCTCCTTCACCAGTTACTAAATCCTCCAAGTTACTAGATGAATCCTCTCCATCATTGAAAAGTTTAGAAAAATAAGTCTCCCATCTATTTTTAATTTCATCATCTGTAACTAAAATTCTTCCCTCTTCATCCTTAATACACCTTACCTGTTCTAGATCTCTTGATTTTCTTTCCCTACTCTTGGCAATCTTATAAATATTTTGCTCTCCTTCCTTCGTCTCAAGGTTCTTATAAAATTCTTCAAAGCTTTAGAACGAGCTTCACCCACAGCTCTCTTAGTTTCCTTCTTAGCCATACGGTACCTCTCCCAATTTTCCTCATTGTCACACAAATGTATGGCTTTAAAACAGTTCTTCTTATACTTGATTTGTCCTGTACACTATAATTCCACCACCAAGACTCCTTATCTCTCGGACCAGAACCTTTCGATTCTCCCAAAACTACTTTTGCAACCTCCCATATCGTTTTAGCCATATCCTCCCATATGATGTTAGCACTTCCCTGAGAATCCCAAATTCCTTTATCCAAAAGATTTCGCTTGAAAATATCTTGCTTCTCACCTTTTAATTGCCACCACCTAATCTTTGGTGTTACTACTTGTCGACGTTTTTGGATTTTACTCATAATACACACATCAAGGACTAGGACCTTATATTGTGTCGTTACAGCATCTCCAAATGCTATTGTTACAAACAAAAAAACAGGAGAAGAAAATATTTCTTCTTTTCTAATATTTTTTCTTCTAATTTTCAAGACTAAGAGCAGACAAGAATAAATAGACAAGAGGAAGGAAGGGGAAAATTCTCAACCTCCTAACTTATTTATTGACTGAAATATTTTCAAACAATTTGATCTTCTAACCCTAACAAAAATATTCAAGATTATATCCAGTAATTTATTTGAACAAAATGATAAATTATCCCACTCAGTAATCTTGACAATGGTTATTTAAATAGAAAACTTCAGACATCATGACAGCTGATATGAATTGAAAAACCAGAAGCAATCAAAGAATAGTTTTTCAAAACACGTGAATTTGGTGCCATTTTGAGAATTTAAAATCTAACCGCCTCCAAAAAAACAGAATACTGCTAATGGTGATTAACTAGTAACTAACCATTCCAAATGGTAACAAAAAGAAATAGATCTTAAACATGATTTCTGGTATTGTTTCCCTATTACATTGCATTCTAATCTTATTTCCTGCAATAGATTAAACCCATGATACCACGGTTCATTAAAATACTGAGATAGCGCGCACACCTTTTATTTTATTTTATTTTTTTGGCCCACAACTACAAACCTTTCATAGTACAAAACATAATCATGAACAAGATTTGTAGTATCTTCACATATAATCAACAAATTAGACTTAAGTGGATACCGTTGACATCAAATGCCACATGCTAGCATCATGAACTCCCTCAGACATAACCAGCAGAATATGGCAGACGGATGCCAGAAGAACAGCAAGCTAGAAAGATTCCTTGCGGTACCCATAGTCCAAATTCATCAGACGTACAGCACCAGAAAAAAGATTAATCATGATCAATATAGAAAGTCAATAGGCAGATAAGGCTGGGGAGAAAATGAAGGGAAACACTGCATTTAGAGTAATTGTTTACCTGAATACCCATAATTTTATGAGCAATCTCAGCTGACAAGGACTCTCCACTTAGAACTGAAACTGTTGAAGAGCTATCTGGCCTCATCATCTCAGCTAAAACAGATGCACTAAAAACGGCTACAATTCAGAAGAAATAAATACATAAATGATCCAAGTAAAGCTGAATAACACAATCTCATTGTAGAAAAGAGGAATATAGTCAACAATTTTCTTTTTTAAAGTGGGGGAGAAAAAAAATGTCTTGTGATGGGAACCAGCGTAGAAATGACAAAAAATGGCTGTGAAGTTTATTAAATATGAGCAAAATAACCGAAGAAGCTTCCCACCAGAGTAAGCATGAAGGTCTTCGCTCGTGACAAACAATTCAGAAGTACTAGGACACGCCCCCTTTTCTCTTCTCTCCACATAACCAACCAAATAATCCTTTCAATAGTAAGAATCTAGCTCAACAGTATAGCACCAATTGTTCCATCTATTTTTTAAACAATTGAGATGTCAAAACGAAAAACAAAAAACAATTACAAAAGAAGAAGATTTATAAACAGCTTCAAAAGAGACATTCCAATAGCAGAATGATAGGTGGTGTTTTTTTTTTTTTTTTGGTCAGAGAATGATAGGTGGTGTTATAATCATAATTCAGCAAAAGGCAACCATTCACTGTTGAGGAAAATCTCTTGTCATACATCTCAGATAGCCTTCCAAGCATTGATTGAGAAGTTCAGTTTCACCATTCATTTGAGGATGATAAGCAAACAAAGACTGAAGTCTAACACCATACAATCAGAAAAGTTCTCTCCAGAATTTGTCACAGAAAAGAGGATCCTGATCAGTAACAATAGACTTAGGAAACCATGAATCTTAACTACATTATCCATAAAAGTATGGGCAACCTCTAGAGCTGTGAAAAGACGTTTAAGAGCCATGAAATGAACCACTTTAAACAATCAATCCACAACAACTAAAATAGTTGTTTTAGAGTAGGATTTCAGCAGGCCACTAATACGATCCATAGACAACTCCAATCAAACATCTTCAGAAGTAGGAAGGGGTTGAAGAAAGCCAGGAGACACTAATCCAGGTTTAAACTGCTGACAAGCATTGCATTCACGCACAAAAATACGTACATCTTTTTCCATCCCTTTCCAACAAAAGAAAGAAGCCATGCATCTAAAGGTAGAGTGTATGCCTCAATGACCTCCAATTCTATCAGCATGATAATAAGTAAATCCGTGCTAAGCCCACAATCAGCTCCTAACAAGAAGCTTGCCCTTTCATTTAAGTAGCTGATGCTCCCAAGTATGTTCAAGATGAGACATAAGATCCACTTCCAAGCCCAAATCAGCTACTGTAACCCATCATCAGTCAACCATGAATCCCTTGCTCTCTCATCAAGAGGTAAAATTGTGGAGTAGACAAAGCCAAGGAAAGAACCTTAAATCATCTAGAAAGGGAATCCACAACAGTATTATCACTCCCTTTGCAGTAAACAATCTCATAATGCAACCCCCACAACTTAATGCAGCCATCCGGATTGCTATAGACTGACATCTCACAACTCCAATAATGTTTCAAAGGCAAATGAACAGTTTTAATGACAAACTTGCGACCCCATAAATAAGAATGCTTTTGTTTAACAGCTAAAACAATGGCCATAAGTTCACACTCGTGTATAGGACAAGGATATTTTTTATGAGAGGAAAGAGCCTTGCCAGCAAAAGCTGACAGATGGCCATTGTGAGAAAGGACAGCCCCTAAACCATGATCAGAAGCATCAGTTTTCATCAATGCCAAAAGTATCATCAAAATTAGGCAAAGCAAGTAGTGGCGGTGACATCCTGGCTTGCTTAAGGGTAGTAAAAGCTTCCTTACTTTGGATTGACCAAACAAAGAAAGCACTGATAGACCCATAAGTCTTTACAAATTGCCTATAGTAAGCCAAGGAGGCTACGCCAAATGACGAATTAAGAAAGTTCTGGCCATGAAGCAATAGAATCGAGCTTCTTAGGATCAACTTGAACACCCTGGGCATAAATAAGATGACCCAATAATCAATTTGTGTAGCGGCAAAAGTACACTTAAGGCCCATTCAAGATCAAAAAATTGATTTTTAGTTTAGAAATTTTATATAAAGAGATTTTATTTTGCAGTATTTTATAAAAAGTTTGAATTATTTTATGTTTGGTTATGATAATAAAAAGTGATTATTATTTAGTTGAGTTTTTATTTTTGATATCATCATGGATCTTTATTCATAAATATATATATATATATATATTTATGCTACCCTCATATATCTCTATATTTTTTTATGGCAGTCTCTCTTGTCCGATCACATTGAATTACTTTCAAAAGCTACACAAAGCAACTTGGCAAAATAATCGCAAATTTGCTTCTTCTTTCTTTTATTCAAATTCTATTATTTTCAGAAGTTCAAATAAAAGATCATAAAAAATTTAATAGAACTGACTTTTTCCCCCAAAAAAAAAAAGGTGATTTTTCTATTAAAAAAAGAAAGTTTTTTCTTTTAAAAAAAAAGAAAATAGCTGATTTGGTTGCAAAGCTGAAAGAGTCTTTTTCAAAAGCACTAAACAAGTCTGCCGATCTAGACTATAGACCAAAATGTCATCAAACAATACTAATATGAAGTCATCGTAAGAAAGCTTCAAAAATAGAATTCATGTTGAAAAAGTTGCAGGTGCATTAGTGAGCCTAAATGGCATCACCATAGACTCATAAACCCTCATGT